AATGACAATCGCTCAATGGGGAAATGGCAGGGAGGGTGATCTCGCCAGTAGGGGGACAGCAAGCAGGGGCTAAAACACTTGTAGTCCAGTATCAAGAGCAAAGAAAAAGTCTCTGTAGCAGACTGTAATCCAACAGGGGGGTTAGGGGATCATCACAGGGACAGTTCAGGTAAAACAGGGGAAAGCATATGCCCACGGATCCGACAGGGTGTTCGGTCTCCCAGGGATAAGAAAGTAAGACACAGGTACCTGTTGGAGGTCCAGGACAGGCGAGGGGTCTCTCCCTTTGGGCTGAGGGTCTTAGGCAGGCTGGCTTGTGCGGTCTCCCCCCTTTAGGCTGGGGTCTCAGGCAACAGGCAGGCAATCTCCCCCCTATGCTGGGGTCTCAGGCAAGGCTTGCAGGCAATCTACCCCTGGGCTGGGGGTCTCCGGCAGGCTGGCAGGCAATCTCCCCCTAGGCTTGGGGGACTCAGGCAGCTGGCAGGTAATCTCCCCTCAGCTGGGGTCTCAGGCAGGTGGCAGGCGATCTCCCCCTAGGCTTGGGGGTCTTAGGCAGGGAGCAGATACTCTCCCCTCAGCTGGGGTCTCAGGCAGGTGGCTGGCGATCTCACCCTAAGCTTGGGGATCTCAGGCAGGTAGCAGGTAATCTCCCCTTAGCTTGGGGTCTCAGGCAGGTGTGGGCGATCTCCCCCCTAGACTTGGGGGTCTCAGGCAGAGTCTGGTCACGAGGGTCCTGCCGCAGCTTGGCTCCCTCCTTGACTGCACAGCAGAATGGATGATCGGAGAGCCCGGCATCAGCCTCTTAAGCTGATGCAGGACGCTCTCCGGTCGTCCTGGCAACTGGGGGTGGGCTTGGGCGGCGTGCCTCGTCGCCCAGCAACAAGGCACCATGCTTCTCGTGAGCTGCAACCTTTGCCCAGGGACATCCGCAAGCGTGGGAACTTCCCATGCCCGCGCTGCAGATGACAGGGATCATGCGGCGCCAGCCTGTCCCCGTGATCCCTCTCATCTCTGCAGGAGGTGTGAACCTCGCTATCCCGTCTCCTCCGGCCTCACCGGCCTGGATGGGGACAAGATAGTGGCAGAGGTGAGAGGGGCCGCGCTCTCGTCCTGCGCGTCTCTGCTTCAAAGAGCCGCGGCAGGATGAGCGACAGCAGGGGGGGGGGGAGGGAAGGTCATCCTGACGGGGCAAGCAGCTGTGACAAATACCCTGATGCAACTTTCTGGACATGGCTCTAATCAACAGCACTCTCTTTCCCTGATCTAATAGCATTGTCACTGTCAGTTGCCTTGTCTGACTCTCCTATGTGCAGCCAACACAAGATTTTTGTACCCTCACTTCAGTAGTTAGCAGTTCAGATAAAGAAGAAGAGACATATATTTATTATGCAGCCTGGCTACATTACACTTATAAATAACGGGTTCAAATTGGCTTTAATATAAAAAAAAAAGCAATCATTGAAATGTGCCTGTATAGCCTGACTGCATTGCAGTTATAAATTGCAGGGGTTCAAATTGACTTTACTATAAAAATAGCAATCACTGAAAAGTACCTTTATATATAAGAGGAGATATGTGCTAAAAAGCCTTTCTTTACATTTGACTATTCTCATTCTAGTACTGTATACTGTATAATTGTTAATTTTTTGTGAAAATAAGACCCCCACACACCAAAATTCAGAGTAGAACCACCCTGCTGATCAAATTACACTCTATTCTAATATTTAAATATAGAAGTTCATTAAGTGTCATTTCTAAAGTCAAATCGGTTCAGTGTGCATAAATATCTGCACTTCCTGCAGAAAGCTGCATAAACAAAATGGGTAAAATCAGTGTTCTTCAGTAAACGTCAGTAAAGTAATTGAACCACATAAGCATCAGTGGAGCAGCAGTTGTATGAATTTAATTTGAAAATACAGTCAAATAAAAAATAATTTTATATGGTTAATAGAATTGCAGAAAAATTATTTTTGGCAAGCATAATATAATTTCCAGTAAAAAGTATTTAAATATGCCTGTTAAACTATAAATAGTTTGAATGTATTTCACTACTTTATGTTGAAAATAATTTTAGATCTTGGTTAATTATAATGGCTGTGCATATAAAAAGCAACATATTCATGCTAAGAACAAAGTATAATACTCTGGGTTCATCAATATTTCTAGTACACAATAGATGCTAAATATGGCATCTAAGCATAAGATCCCTAAAGAATTCATATAAATAGGCTTATTTAAAGGGTAATATTTCATTAGCTTGCTTTTCTGGCTCAGATGTATACTTTTCATGCTGAGCCTCTATGTCGAAAGTAGCCTTTGTTCGATTCCCCAGGCACAAGCTACATTCACTAAACATCACCATGTTTGCCCAGGATTTACAATGAACCCTGGGAGCACAAATATGCTCCGACTCCAGAGGACAAAAAAAATGGAGGTGAGTAAGATAGGCCTAACAGACAAATGTGCAAAATGCTGAAAGTTATAGCAATCAATAAGACTTTGTCCTTCAATGAGAGACTGGCAGTAAACTGAATTGTGATGGGTTGCTCTTGGTTACTGCCCCTTGCATATCCTCCTTGTTGTTTTGTACTGCTTTTCTCTATCACAGTGCAGTTCCTTGTACAGGTCCACTACACTTTCTTCACAAAGCTCAATTAACTCTCACTTACTCCTCATCTCAGCACATTACAGACACAGAGGGGTAGATTAGCTAAAACTTGATCATTCAGAATCCGGTGCAGATGTGCATGGTAGCCAATCAGCTTCTAAATTCATCTTCTTCATTTAAGCTGTGGCAATAAAATCAGGAATCTGAGTGGTTTCTATGCAGAGTTGCACCAAATTTGCACTCTCCAGTTTTAGTGTATAAACCCCAGAATGTCACCATAACGTCTCAGTGAAAAATTTTACTATCATAGGGAAACATTTCCAAAATGGTGGCTGAAGACAAGTCTTAATCGAATAAACATCTTCCATAACCGCTAGTGCTCAGGTGCTGCCAGTGACACCGGTGATCCGTTACTCTCTTAAAAGCTTCTCTTAAAGTACTGTCTGTCCAAACAAGACTCTCCACCACCAAAGGTAAAGTCCTTCCCAGTTTAGCCACTTGCAGAGCTTTCTAGTCACTACTTTGGTGCACTTAGGGGTCCTCACACTTCCCCAAAAAGGAGAATCTGCTTTGGTACAATATGCCTACGCCTACATCTCCCCTCATACATGAAATGCTCTCTCATTGTCAGGGAGCCCCATTTCCTAGCAGGGACAGCCATGTGGACACCTCTCTCTCTCAGCTTATATGCTGGTGGCTGCTCTCTCCACTGCCCATGCAGGACTCCCCATCTATGATACAATAGAAAGTGTTTATATACCATGTCTATGCCAAAATGACTTCCAATTATCTTGAGATCCTAACAGGCACAGGCTTCCCCAAGATGGCAGTTCAGAACCCACTACAAGGATAAGTCAGTCCTCTGCAAGGCTCCCTCTTGTGTTCAAAGTACAGCAGCAGTGTAATAACTGCTCTATTCTCTGTGTGTTGGACAATTACCAGGACACAGTCTCGCCTGATATCACTCAATGGTGCACCACGGGAGGTGGGTTGTGAGGGAAAGAGCAACTCCCAATCTTCCACTCTAATACCCTGCTACACACAAGGGTTTACAACCACTTTACTGGACAATTCCAATATAAAAGGATACTCTTTTTTTTTGTTGTTGTTGAGTGTGAGAAATGTGCTGTCATGCTCTCGGAGAGAACCTGAACCCAGTCATTGTAATGTTTCCTAAGCACTAATCTATTTTATATTGTACAGTGCAAGGTATACACATAACATACCTATCTATCTTCTGATACTTGCTATGTTGAGGTATATATATTAATCAAGCAAATTATGCTGTAAAAATACATCTTTCCAGTTGGTGAACAGTTTCACTAGCAGTTGTTCACAGATTTTGAGTAGTCTATCTAGCAATCTTATGTAGCATTCAAGCAGCCTCTCTACCTTACTCTTGCAATTAGTGATGAGTAAATCTGCCCAGTTTGGATCTGCCAAGGGTCCAGTGAATCTTGTTCGAAATTCGGTAAGCCTGAACCTAATGGTGAATCCCATTGAAGACTTGGAGAGGAAAGGTGAATTTGTTGTTAAATACTGGCCATTTTTAAAGTTATTGTGCAAGCTACCTTAAAAAAGGCATGAGGTGGGCATTGCCATGTGGGACACGTACCAATGCATAAATAAATAAATAGCAAATAACATTCTTAGGGGATGCATTAAAGTTGTATGTGGTGTTACAAAACAGTATTATTTCCACAGGCAGTCTTAGCGATACTTGCAGCACATTTGTTTTGTGTGGAATTTATTTTTTCTTTTGGCTTGGTTTACATACAGCACCAGCACCCCAATTTGATTTATTTCAGTTTAAGCAATAGTTTATCAGTGACAGTGCTTTTTCACCAAACAGTAATATTCCTGCTTTGACTGACATTTACAAATTGGACAGTAGTTCACTGTAGCTGCTCTTGTTCTCACCGATGCAAAAGTCTCCTGCCACTGGTCAATTTTTATCAAGCTCTTAATAAGAATTTAGATAATACAGATGGCACAGCAGTGTAAAATTATTCAGCAGCAGGACAATTTTAACCACTAGCCTACAGGGCACTTATACCCCCCTTCCTGCCCAGGCCAATTTCCAGCTTTCAGCGCTGTCACACTTTGAATGATAATTGCGCAGTCATGCAACACTGTACCCATATGAAATTTTTATAATTTTTTTGAGACAGAGCTTTCTTTTGGAGGTATTTAATCACCTCTGGGATTTTTATTTTTTCTTAAACAAACCAAAAAAACACTGAAAATTTAGAAAAAAAAGGAAATAAGTGATTTTTCTCCTTCACTGACGTGCGCTAATGAGGCTGCAGTGATGGGCACTGATAGGCTGCACTGATAGGTGGCACTGATGGGCACTTATGAGGAGGCACTGGTAGGTTGCACTGATGGGCATTGACAGGCATCACTGATGGGCACTGAAAGGCAGCACTGATGCATGACACTGATACATGGCACTGATAGGCGGCACTGATAGGCGGCACTGACTGGCACTGATAAGCGGCACTGATGCGCACTGATAGGTGACACTGACTGGCACTGATAGGTGGCACTGATTGGCATTGATAGGTGGCACTGACTGGCACTGATGGATGACATTAAAAGACAGCTCAGATGGGCACTGATATGTGGCATTGATGTGCACTGGTATGCACTGATATGTGGCATTGATGTGGCACTGATGGGCACTGGCACGTGGCACTGATGGGCACTGACAGGTGGCACTTCTGGGGCCACACTGATGATCAGTGCCCTGATGATCAGTGAACATGTCCCCTCCGCGGAAAGCTGATTACTGGCTCTCCTCTCCTCTCGAGCTGTCAGCGTGACAGCTAGAGAGGGGAGAAATGCCGATAACCGACATTTCCGTGTTTACATGTGATCAGCTGTGATTGGACACAGCTGATCACATGACCGAGCCAACATCTTCGGTTCTTTCCGTGATCCGCTGTGTCCGAGGGACAAAGCGCACCAGCGATCGTCGCTCTGCGCGCTCCCTGAGCCACGCATGCACAGTGAGAATGGTAGGACGGCATATAACGTCCTATCAGAACAAGAGAACCACCTTGCGCCTGTCATTGTACTATAGGGCAGGTGGAAGGTGGTTAATGGGCAGAACTAGGCCCCATTTTTTAATTGACAATGAGCACAGGCAGGGGTTTTACTACAAAAATTAAGATACTGCCCTGGACACAGTAGTGTAAAATTGGATTGCAGCAGGACAGTTTTATTTTGGTATAATAGACAAAGATGTACTAGAAACAAAGCGTGGAGGCAGATATTTTATGACAGGAATTAGGAGACAATAGATGACACAGAAATGTAAAACTGGCCAACAGAAGGAAATTTTAAACAAGCAAGGCTAGACCCAAATTTACTAAGGATTCTGCAGAGCATACATCAGTGTATAGTTGTCCAGCAGCAGGACCATTTTAATTAGGGATAAAAAAAGGCTCCATAAATAAGAAAATACACACCCTGAGTTAAATGAAAACCCCAAAATACTACCTCCCTGACACAAATGCCCAATATTGCAATCTTTCAGCAAAAAAACAAAACAAAAAAAACAACACGCTAAGAACAGGACAACAGCTGAAATTGACTGATGACCTCAAATCAACCACAAAATGTAATGTAATTAGGAACACGCAGAATTCTCCTCTACCTTACGATGGCAGCAAACCCAAACCCCATTCCTACTTACAACATCTGGGTCTTCCCAAGCAGACTCTTAAGTAAGTCTTAAGTAAGACGTAACAGTCTTCTGCAAGATATGGGCCCTCTCAAAATAGAGGGTATGTGTTTTGTCTTGGAGATTAGGAAGTAGTTTTTTCCCCTACTGAAGCAAATTGGATTACGCTTTTTAATGGGTTTCTTTTTCGGCTCTCTGTAGTTCAGATCTGGGTTTTAAATGCAATCTTATTATTATTTATATTTGTCTATTAGATGAAGTTGATGGACATGTGTCTTTTTATATTCTGCCTAACTATGTAGCTATGAAAATACTCATTTTGGTGACCATACCCATTTAAATATGTCTTCTTCTATAAAGAAAAGCAATGTGTGTAACATATGTGTCACAACCTCTTTCAAAACAAAAAAAAAACAAAGTGTGTGAGTGTGTGTGTGTGTGTGTGGGGGGGGGGGGGGGGGGGGTAATGGCGAGAAGTAACTAATGCAAGATTTACCACTTTTTTAGAATTGTTGAGAGATGTGCTGCATGCTACTACATATAGGGATCTGCAACAAACAGGAGATTTCCATTGACACACTCTGCTATTCTTCATTCCAGCTGGATAACATTAGCCTTATGACAACTAATATAAATGAAACTAACCTAGTCCATATCCTCATTTGTACTGTAAATGATTGAATGAACCTTCACCTCTTTAGGCATTTTAAATACTTTTTTTTCTGCTGACTGAAATAAAAATCCTCTAAATACTTCTTTTGCAGGACCCCACCCAGCACTTCCAGCTTCTCTTGCCTAGGTGAAAATGACATTCTCTCCTTGACAGAAGCCTCCTGGGATACATATGTCATGCATCCAAGGAGGCTTCAGAGCAATCTCTGATGCACTTCCCATGCACCTGGAAATATTCATTACACTGTATGTGCAGAGAGGGAGCCTTGTGTTAGCACTCAGAAGAGACAGCTTCAGATCAAGTATGTGGCAGTAGAGCAGTAAGAGACGTTCACATGCCGCACATCATGAACAAACTCATGGTGAGGGAGTAAATAGCAGGTTCAGCCTGGGCTCCAGCCAGGCCACACCCCCAACATGTTTCACTCCGGCCTTGGAACTTAATAATCCCCATGTTGTTTGTTCATGACGTGTGGCATGTGGATATATATCCTGCTACACTGAAGTTTGGAGCCAAGATGAGCTCCACTACTGGCCAGCACTCATAGCGGTTGGCTATGGATTAGGACCTCTAGCCTGAGCAGCTACTACATTGTCGTTTTTGGGTTACAGTAGAGTAGCAGGTTATACAAGGGAATCCTGGATTCACTGGGTGTATATATGGTTTTGAAGAAGATCCAGCGGTACAAAACACAGTAAAGTGGGGGCGGTACAAAACACAGTAAAGTTCCTGTTTTAACTGGACCTTTAAAATGAACTCTAGGATAAACAGATATTGGGGGAATTAATAAAAAGTGTCCAAGACAAATCTTGCCTAAACTTTATCTCAACTGGAGTATAGCCAATCAGCTTATTAGTTTTCGTATTTTAATCTGTATGGGAAGATTAAAAGCTAGAGACTGATTGTTTGCTATGGGCAATAGCACCAGTTTAGATAGAACTTTTCTCAGACACATTTGATTAATTTAGTTTCTAGTGCCTAAATACAAGAAGCATAAAGAAAAAAACATTTCCTGATAACTAGCCACCATCCCCAAACTATAAACATAAAAGAAAGGACCCCTAAAATGAATTTGGACTTTGAGGGCATAAATATGTAAATTGGAAGTAAAAAAGTATAAAACCTTTTTATTTTGTCAAATTTTCACACAAAAACATCACAGCATGACAGACCATCTAGAATCATAATATAATATCATCAAGGTTGTTTGTTTAGTAATGCAGATACTTTGTATGGTCATACATAATCAACCATTTCTAGACATATTGTGATATCACCATTAACACATATTATTGCAGAGGCGATCTCAAAAAGTTCAACACATTTTGGAATGGCTTCACTCCTTCTTCAGGGAAAAGATAACTTTGCATAGAGGTGACATCATCTACAAGATTGAACATATATTTGTTTGGAACATAGCTTATATCCATTAACAATATTTTTATATGATTTTCAATCTGTAAATATACTCACAATACATAAGAGTGAAAGAACATAAATGAATCTGCAACCAGATTTAGGAACAGAACTTCAGAATGTCGCCACCTCATTGACCAGGGGACTGGCGTGCTTTGGGTGCATGGAAACACCCCAAAAATGGATCACAAGGGCATAACCAGATCACTGCAATTGAGAGCTTGAAAAGTAAGGGACATATCCAAAAATTCATTAGTATAATGCGCAAAAAAAGCCATAATGGCATGCTGGGGTGGAACCCACCATAACATTTTTGAGCGTCTGAACGTTTCAGCGCCTCATTCACATCAGACCGGATAGGCTGGGGGGATATCTAAGTGTAAATCTTCAAACATAAGTGTTTGATTAGGCTGTATGAACCTTTCGGGGTGCTGTCACTAGGAAAATCAATAAACATATCAATGTATATATGTCCTTCCATTGGCAACACTATGATGCAAAACCACAATTCTCAACCAGACAGGGGGAAAAAAAAGGGGAGATTACCAGTAAATAAGCTGATCTCATCCTGCCCAATCAACACAAGGCCACTCTACGGTAATCTTGGATCATCCACGCCGGCCCACAGGAACGGGAATTATCAAAAAAGTAGAAGATGAACCTCATTAATATAAGGACCTCCAGAGAGATCCAATCCATCCTCAAGCAGTAATTAACAGAGTCCACAGGAACAGACAGGGGATCAAAATGGCGTCCGACCACCAAACCCATGTTGTCCTGTCAAAAGGACGCTGCCGGAAACCTCCCCCCAGAATGCTGGTGCACGGCATCACCACGCTACCTAGTGTGGAGTAACGCCAAGCATCAGAGGACCGCCAACACACTGAGGAGAAGTACGGCCGAGGGGTGCAGAGGAAGTGGCAAGGGCCAAAAACCTTGCACCACACATGGCCACACATAGCTGCACTCATCAGGCCAGAAGGCCCAATGGTGCAGCCCCAGTGTGCCGGGCACCAAAATAGAGGGACCAAGCACCCGGGTTTGAACCAGCAAAACCCTCCCAACCCAGAGGTAACAATAACAGAACTAACCACTTCAGTACCATTTTATACACATATGTATCAAAACTATCCAAAAAATCTACAAAGTTACATCAAACACAAAACAAAAATTAGTAATACAAGCCAGAGAGATCTCACACATGGGTACCAAATAATGGAGAGTATACATTACATATATTGGGCATAAATGCAGAATTATATTGAATATAAAATAAAATGTCAAATACAGCAGAATAACTGAGCAGGGCAAGTAGATGAACAGAGGCATATGGTGTAATTATTTTTCCATACCACCAGAGACAAACCCTTGCAGGAAGGTCCCAAAGTGAACTCATTTGTTCAAACCGGGGGGGAAGTAGCTTGTAGATGGAAGATCCATCTAAGCTCCAACTGCAATAGCAGTTTATTCCAATCATCCCCTCTACAACCTGGATGTACCTGGTCAACAAGAATGAGAAATTTGACTTTGGAGAAGTGGCCATTATGTACAGTAAGGACATAGCATCCATAAGGTAATTCAGGATCACCTCTCCACATACTATTAATATGCCTACTGTATATGCTTGTATCTGGTTTTTAAAGCAAGAGGTGCATAAAATGGATTGATATAGTTTGTGGATATTTAGGAATACATATGAATCAAAGTTTTTGTGCCCTGCTGTTCATTTTGAATCCATTGCGCTGATTACAGAAAAGTATCCGTAGTATCTATAGCTTTGACCAGGTCACAGAGATAATCTAAGTTTCACATGTGATGCAAATTATGATGTTTCTATTACACTGTGGAGGATTGAATGAGTCACTTCTAAAGTGATGTAGTGCTCACATTTATACACTTCACTGCCAATCCCAGATAAATCATGAATTTAATTCCTAAAATTAGATTTAAGTTATTTCCAAAACGTTGTAAAATCAGGGGAAATAGATATTGTTCATTTTATTTAAGTGCACTTTATACAACAAAAGTATGGAAGTGCCAATTAAATTGCATAATAAAAGTTCAGTGTTACTGGTTAAATACTGGTTATTGAGATATTAATATGTAAAATTTGAAAGTCAAAATGAACCCAAAGT